TGATTCCGGTCAAGGGCATGTACCTTGGTTGTGGGCACATCCCCAGTAGGAGGTGTGCAGGAGGCAGCTGATCGATGTTTCTTTCTCATCGATATTTCTAACTCTCTATCCCTCTCCCTTCCTCTCTGTAAAAAAAATCAATAAAATATATTTTAGCCAGAACCGGTTTGGCTCAGTGGATAGAGCATCGGCCTGCGGACTCAAGGGTCCCAGGTTCGATTCCGGTCAAGGGCATGTACCTTGGTTGCAGGCACATCCCCAGTCGGGGGTGTGCAGGAGGCAGCTGATCGGTGTTTCTCTCTCATCAATGTTTCTAACTTCCTATTCCTCTCCCTTCCTCTCTGTAGAAAATCAATAAAACATATTAAAAAAAAATATATATATATTTTAAAAAATAATAAAATAAAAAAATTAATGGAAAAAATATGGAACGCTTGATTTCTCCTAAGCAATTGATTAGCCATTCAGCTGTATGCAAGGATGGCAGAAGTTTCATTCTGAAGTCTACATAAACCATCAGTCAACAAGAGGCACAAATTCATGCCTCCGTGGCTCACCACTGTGTCAAAATGTGGCATAAACTAGTTGTTTGTTTTTTTAAAAATTATAATTTCAGCAAGACTTACAATTTATTTTTAAAAATAGACTGTTGGACATTTGTGGAACTGCTGGACACCCTTTGTACAACCAGAGAGTTCCAAAGAACGTAGCTGGATATGCTGCGAAGTACTGGAGCCTACGGAGAAGAGGGAAGAAGTGGGGGTGGCGGGTTCTCCAAGCCATTTACAATATGGTAAATTCAGACTTAACCTGGTCACAAAATGCCTGTTGGAGTCTCAGTTTCCCCACCTGCACCGTGAGGTGGTTCATAAGGAGTTCCCAAAACACCAAATCTAGTGGCAATAGTATGGCCCTGCCTGTTAGGATTCAGTTTGGGGGAAAAGTAATAATGACCTTGCATCACTAGCAGAGTCATCCTGGGATGGCTGGTGATGTCCAGGCTCTGCTCTGAGACGCTCCCTGCCAGGTATGACTAAAACTCTGGCTGAGTCGTTGGTCTCTATTTCCCTTTTGTCTATACAGATATAAGTAAGTGGCACCATACACCACACTTGACATAGGAAGTACTTAGAAATGTTGACATTAGAATGACTCTACCTAGACTTTTAGCTCGTCTCATAGACATTCTATTGGATAAGCATATATTCCTGAAACATTTCTGCCACTGAGATTATATAACCGCACCAGTTGTGACGTTTACGTATCACTCATATGCAATGGAAAGGCCTTCCCTGTAACCTGTTCTCCTTGGTTTTCCACAAAGGAACCATTTCAATCAGGCCAAAACATTGATTTTCATGGTTTCAGAGAAGCTTTTCTGAAAAAAGTAACCCATGCTAAGTGAAAAGGTCCCCACTTCTCTTCACATCCCCAGCTCCTCGTCTCACAAGGGGCCTCTGATGCTCACAGACACTCTGCCCCTACGCCTGCGAACTGCTGAGGTGAGCACACAGGGGGGCAGACTGCTGTTGGGAGGAAGAGCCTGAGGATTGCTCATGCAGTTCCCATTTAGCCAGGGAATTCCCATGCCCTGAGCATGGCAGGGTGTGTCTTGGGCTCCAGGTGGCATATCTCTTTGGTATCCTGGGTTTTATGCCCCATGAGGGGAGCCATGGCTGAAGCAGGGCCAGTGCAGCCTCCTCTGAAGCATGAGACCCAGGCCAGGGGGCCCTCTTGTCATGTCTAAGGTATACATTGTAGCTACCCACATCTTCATTCCACAACCTTTTAAGCAATAGGTATAAACAGCACTCTGTATGGGTATACATGGTGCATGCCTGATTGTATATGAGCAGTCACAACCCAAGACGCCCTACCCACCTAAGTGCCATGCTAGAGGCAGCCCAGGACAGTGAGGTGTCTACAGGCACTTACACTCCTTTACCAAGTGGAGGCAAGTTAAATCATGTGGACGTACGTAATTACACACTCACAGCAACAACTACAGTCCAGGCTTAGTGACTGTCCTCAATTAATAACTACCCAAAAGGCTAACTCCTTCAAGGAGCTCACAGCCCGATAACTAAACCCTCCCCCCCACCCGCAAATAATTACAACAAGACAGAAAGCAGTATCGAGAAAGACATTAATAAGACGTCACTCTGAAATCACTGAGGGCGAAAAGGAGGGATTAAGTTCTGCAGGAGGTACCAGGAGGGAACATCTGAGTCAGGCTTTGGAAGGTCGGTAATACATCAGCATTCCTCATGCTGTAAAACGTCAGTTTCGAATCAGTTAACTTGCAATGCCTTTAACATTCCACAGATTAAGTCAATTCCCAGTTCCTGTATGACATAACCCACGAAAAAATGTGTATTTTCAGGAAGTGGAAAAATAAATACCAGTTTGGTCTGGAAAATTGCGATTCCAAGTCTTTATATGTCACCCTGTGTATGTGAACCAATATATCACTATGCTAAATGGGACTTTTTCCCTTTAAATAAGTAAATAAAAAAAAGCAACAGGGAAAATTTGAAATGCAGTACCCTATAAGAATCATACCTTTTATTCTTACCATTAAATTCCAACCCTCACTTTCAAGGAAAGTCTGCATTTGTTCCAGTGTCTTTTTTTTTTTTTACTTTATACAGCGTAAGCAGCACAAATCACAAATCAGATACTGAAAAATCAGGTTATTTATGATTGCCTTTCCGCTTTTCTCTATGAAATAATTGGCCTGCATTTTCCTGTCTGGACCTATCAACTTTCGGCAAGCATGGAATGTTAATTGAAGTTACGCACAAGCTGGGCTACCATTCCTCAAATTTAATAAGAAAAAAAAAATCAAAACCAATTGAGTTTCCTGTTTTTATTTATGGGTTTCAGTACCCACTTAGGGGAATCAAAATAAAGTGTCTCAGTGATGGCTCATTCTTCCCTCAATTAATGTCCTCAAGGAGACCAGTTCCTCCCATCTGCTCCTGGGATGACTGTCCGGATCATCAAGCCTATTCAAGCTTCTCCCCAGGGTCCTGCTACAACATGCGCAAGTACTTCCTGGGGAAGCCTGCAGCCTACCTCACCCTTCCCACTTGGAAACACAGAGACTCGGCCCTTTCTGGTGTGATTATATAAGAATACAAGGCTTGCCGGACCCAGCCCAAAACTGAGGCGTGTCCTTTAAACACCATCCTGTGCCTGGTCTTCTCAGAAACGATGGTGCATGCTGGACAAAGAGGAGACAAGTACTATGTATCTTTCAGTAATAATGGGGACACATTTCCAAGGAATCCCCTTTCAAAATTCAGATGCTCTAGTCTAGGTAAAGTATGTCAAACTCGCAGCGGGTGGGCTGCATGCCTCGTTTAAACGTGAGTTGGACATGCTTGCTAAAGTATGTAATGTTGGGGAAAGTATGTAACCTCACATGTGCAGGTTGTAGTATCCCCGTTTCAGGGGCGGGGAAGCAGAAGACTTTTGTAAACTGAACGTCTTTCTAAGGCAAGTTACCTCTCTCAGAGAATTTCTAACTCCCCTCCCAATTTTCTACTTCTCAGCTGAGGCGTTGATGGAATGTGGGGAAACAATTTTTGTTGTGCAGAACATCAGCTTCCTCGTAGCCGCTTCCATCCCCTGGGTCACTGTGATCACGAGGCACGGTCATCTCCACCCCCGGGGGGGGGTGCTGCCCCTGATGGAGAACCACTTCGAGGCTAAAGATGCTAAACATAAAGGGCACTGTATGCTCCCTGTGCTGCACTTTACATCCTGAGGCTGTTTTTACAACTAGCAACTTGTATGTATGAATCCCTTCCCCCTTTCCACCCATCCCCCCAGTCTCCCTCCCATATGTACGGTGTCAAGTGGGTACTAGACATAAGGGGGGCGGGGGTGGGGATAACTTCATAAGTTATAGAAATGTCTAATCACTATGCTGCACACCAGAAACTAATATAATATTGTTTGTCAACTGTACTTGAAGCATGTTAAGGCAGAACTCAATGAAAATAAAACATAAAAAAGCTGGGTTATGTGTGAAAAATGACATATTTACCCGAGAGGATTCTTTGTCTTAAGGCTTAATCTCATGCTTTGAGGACCATTTCTATAGTCATCATAGAATCAAAGGGATCCTCCACATCAACTCGATGCCCCAGATCAGTAGCACAGCAAAGGGCATTCCTTGCTTATTTTTTAAACCTATGCATGAATTCACTGTATGTAAAAAGCAGGCTTTTCAAAGAGCAGGGTTATCAGTGCCTACATCCAGGCTCCTCTTTTTATCTTTTGGGTGCAGAAGTTTATAAAAATTCATCTCAGAAACAATGAACTAGAAGGAGAAATAGAAGCTACACCAAAGTCAATAGCTATTTTGTTTTTTTGGGTCTGAATGAGACATAGAACAGGATATCATAACTGTAATGCTTTAGCAAAACACAGCCCTTTCTCTTTTGGCCTGGCTGAGCCTGTGCCCGGCAGGGTGGTGCTACTGGTTTATGGGCCATCCAAGTTCAATGCACATTGAAATTTTTTTTTTTTTTTGCACAGTTGACACCAGAGCTTCATAGGAGTGCTTTCACACCCTTGTGCAGGCACCCTGGCTGCTCCTCCCACCAGGATGCTGCAGACAGGTCAAGGTTCCTGGTGCTCTCTTTTCCCCGACCTTGGGCTGCGCTTCCCCCTGACATTATATATACGCAGCTCTGAAGAGAGCGTTACGACAAACGGCATTTGGAAATTTGTAACTGATTCCTTCTAGTGGCTAAGATGCAACGAGCTATTTCTGCAAAGGGCCCTGTCCACAACAACCCCAGCCCGGATGTGTCTGTAGCTGTGAGCAGAATGCCTTCCTCCTCCCCACGGCTACAGAAAACAGTGCAGAGGTCCTGCCCTCCAGCTGACCACCAGTAATAACAACATTAGGGGCAGGGAATGAGGGAAGTTTATCACTGAAAAGAGGAAAAACGAGTTTAAGGAAAGAACAGCACTTTCTCACTCACCACTGAGGTCAGAGCCATCTGAAAACTGTAGATGCGGGCAAGGCCGAAGTCAGCCAGTTTTATTTGTCCGCTGCTGGTCACCAGAATGTTCTGTGGTTTTAGATCACGATGCACTACTCGGTGAGAATGAAGAAAGTCCAGACCTCGGAGAAGCTGAAACATCATATCCTAAATAAGACCAAAAGAGAAAATCAATACACAGTCAAAACAGAAGTGCAACCTGCCAAGCCCTCGGCGCTCAGGGGAGTGCCTGGCACACAGAAAGCATTTGAGAAACATTTGCTGAATGAATGAATCCGTCTCCCTTCCTACCTCTCGACTCTCCCATTCTCAAGATCACTACAAAAATGTTTACTCTGGAGCTGTACTTTATTAATGAAAGGACAATTTAAAAATAGTTTCAGACGGCATAGGAAATATTCTGGAAGAACATATACCGAACTGGTGTCAGTGGTTAATGCTGGGGAGAGGAACTGGGAGAGGTGGTGGAGAGAGGGGAATATTTTTTACTTCGTATACTTCTATATGGTTTAGTATTTGATCTCAATAGTTAAAGTCTAGTGAATAATAATAATATTCATAGTAATTATTATTTTATAGCACCACATATTCAGCTGACACTGTGTCAAGCACTGTTATAAGTACCTTCTATTTAGTAGCTCACTCAATCCATACCACAACATTAAGGTAAATAATATCATCACCCCATTTTACAAGTCAAGAAAGTGATACACAGCATGTAATTAGCCCAAAGTCACACCACTAGCAAGAGACAGTTTTGATTCAGAAAGTCCAGAAAAAGTGAATTCAAATTCCCAATGCACTCCTTTATCAGATCAATGATGGGAGGAGTAGTGGGTAAAACCAGATAAGCCATTTAACCTTGCTGAGCCTCAGTTTTCCCATCTGTAAAATGGCAAAGTACCAAAACCTATTTTGTAGGATCATTGTTTGTAAAGCACTAAGCACAGTAGCAAGCATTCAATACATGGTAGCTGTTATTGCCATACTTAACCAGCATAAAGCAGGGGGCATTCAGAAAATAAACCAATAAAATCACATCTCTTTCTAATTTTAGAACTGATAAAATTAGAACATTTAAAACTCAGAAACAGTGTCTGAAAGTAGGAATTCAAAATTTGACCGTGATACGATACTCTGAAATCTGGGGTTAATAAGATTGATCTACCTCTCAAAATATTGTGAGAATGGTGTATACAAGGGAGGACAGACGTTATCTTGTTCATATAAAGGTTAGAAAAATGATTAGGCAGCATCATGGGCTTCACGGCTGTGGGGTGATGTGGTGTGAGGACACACACTACTCAGCAGCTGGACCACTAAGCCCCTCGCTGAGAACAGCAGATTTGGTTATTGGTTTAAGGTACTAGTTCTTCCTTTAGAGATGGGAGTTCTGTTTTCACATCCCAGCTTGTTTACAATTGAAGCCTTAGCTTTTCCATTTACATAATGGAGAAAATAGTGCTTCCTTTTCACACCATTATGAGATTTAAATGAAGTACTGTATGCAAAGGGGTTATGAAGTTTCTGGCACATGGTATCATTTAACTGTGATAATTGTTAAAATGTACTGTTTCCTGGGGGAGACAGAGTCACAAACAACCACAGGAAAATGTGATCAGTGCCATCAGGTCAGGGCACAAAGGGCTAAGGGTGGGTATGCAATGACACCGTGACTGGGATCTTCCTGAGATCCACCTAGATGGGCACAGTCCTCCCCGCTTCCCCAGTTTCACTCTCCCTGTTTCAATGACCCACAGTTAACTATGGTCCTAAAAAACTAAACGGGAAATTTCAGAAATAAACAATTCATGCATTTTAAATGCTCTTCTGAGTCGTGGGATGAAATTTGTGCTGCCCCACTCTGTCCCACCTGGGACATGGGTTATCCCTTTGTCCAGTGTGTCCACATTGAATACACTAACTGGCTGTTAGTCACCTGGTAGCCCTCTCAGTCATTAGACTGGTTAACAGATACTTTGAGAGAGAGAGAAAGAGAGAGAGAGAGAGAGAGAGAGAGAGAGAGAGAGAGAGGGGGAGATGGGTTGGGGGTGCGAGAGGAAGGAGAGGAGGGAGAGAGTGAGCACATTCTCATAACTTTTACTACAGCATATAATGTTATAACTGTTCTACTTTATTAGTTATTGTTAATCTTTTACAGTGCCTAAGTGATAGGTTAAACTTTATCATAGGTATGTAAGTATAGGAAAAAACATAGTATATATAGGGTTTGGTACTATTGTGGTTTCAGGCATCCACTGTGGATAAGGGGGGACCTACTATCTTCTGAATCTCCAAAGGTGAAAACTTTGGAGAAGACTGTACTGTCCACCGATAGTCAGTCCTTTGAGACTTAAGAACCACTATAGGCCAAACAACGAGTAAACATGAGCGTGAAAATGAAGCACAAAACGTTAAGGAGTCTTCCGCTGTGGCAAATAAGTCTTTATTGAAAACATATGCACACACTTGTAAGCACTAAATTTTAAATAGCATGACTAACCTAAAGTAATGTTATGCTGGTTCATCATTTTTAGCTTCTTGGATACCGAGTACCAACAATTTAAAATGGTACAAAGAATAAATCTGCTTGGCTCAGTTGTCACTGTCCAAACAATAAGCAGCAAATTAGCAGAACAAAGATTTAAAAATCTGAACTAATTAATTAATAATAAGGCCCATCTAACTTTATAAAAATCCTGGACTAGAGAGTAAATAAATGTGCACTGCTTTTATTTGTGCATTTACTTATAGCACATATGATACAGTTTTTAAAATTATAAAATTGGTGTATGCTTAATGCAATAAATTATAAAATTTTAAAAAATTCCATAGGAAGGACAAAAGTCACTCAAAATCCTACCCCTTAGAGAACAGAGAAATCTTCACTCTTAAATAATTTTTGTGTCTTTCTTGTCTGTGTTTCAAAAATCAGATGTAGGTATAAAAAGAATATATGGTTATATTGTTATAATTTACATAAGTACTATAATCATACTATAATTTATATAAATATTATACGTTTGTGCCATAGTATATTAAATGTTTATAAATAAAAATGGTTATTATTCTATACATGTTATTTTGTGGTTCTTTTAAAAAATGTAATAATTCATTGTAAATATTTTGCCACTACAACAAAACTTCTACAAAAAAGTTTTTTATACAACATGATTTTTAATGGCTGCATGGTTTTCCACCTTATCATTATACCATAATCATTATTTGTTTTTACTTGTGTTATTTTGGAACTTGTACTAAGAGTCTACTTTTCCTTTGTTTAAAGGGGAACATAGATGAAAATGACTTAATATTGCATCTAAGCACGGGTTCAGCGGTGTGAATCCTCATACTTGCACTAGAAATTGATTCCATGTAAGTGATGCCTATAAATATAGGAAAAGTTAGTTCTACACAAGAATTACCATTCTTCAGATTTTGGGGTTTTTTTTTGGTTAGCAAACAGGGTTTTCTTTTAAACCTAGAATATCTAGCCACAAGAAGAGTTTTGAACTAGTGAGCTTTGAATTAATTAACAATTTTAAGAAAATCTTGCCAAAAATCTCATTCCCTTCAGTAATTTAATTGTGAGGTAAGTTGATGAACATAATGGACCTGTAGTAAGTATGATTTGGGGACCCCCCTCAGCTTTAACCATCAGTCATTGGAACACCTAGTCTCAGAAGAAACACGCACTCAATTACCTCAGGAACTCTGGTCACAAGACATGGTCCCAGTTTTTGAGGATGATATGAACGAATAAGTCGTAACACTACACAAGGTATGAAAAAACACCTTTCCTTCAGAATCACAAGTAGTGCTCCGATCAAAGACATTTCACAGGATTCTCTACTTAACATTTATTATCTGTTCTATCTCAACTTACAGTATCATGAGACACACTTTTAAATGAGCTCCTCAAGATGTTAATCTAAATTAATCTGTTATATACAAGGCTCAAATATTTCACAGTAATCTTAGTGACACAATGTATAGATACTGCCAATGAAGGCTCTTTAAGTTAAACGTAGGTTAAGCCTTTTTATGTTACAGCGCACAGTCCTGGGAAGAAAAGGTTTGAATACCTAGCCTTCCTAATGATAAACAGTCACCTGGGGCCTCCTCACTCTGTATCTTTCTGAAATGCATGACGGGAAAGCATGTTTCAACAGGACTGCATCATGGAATGAAGTCTGACTTCCAGTGACTTTAGGTGGTGTTTTTGTCCTTGGCAACTCCCCTAAAAGACTCTGGACTTCAGTCTGAAATCTTTAAAGCCTTGTAATTTTTTTTAAGTGTTCTAGAACTTTAACCCTCTTATTTCTTTAAAATCAAAACAAACTAAAAACTTTTCTAAAAGGAAAAAGTTTTATTGCTGGGTCTTTTTCCAACTACAAAATAGTATAAATAGGTCCAAAATATACTAAAAACACTCAATTTATCTCACACAGTAAATCACAGAAATGACAGCTCTCAATAGATAATTTTTGGATATATCTACTTAATTGAAGTGCCATATTCACATCCTTACAGTTTTAGCCACAAAAATATACATGCGTAGTTTTCTCTATTAAACAATTCAAAATAAGACATATACAACTTTTAGACAAAGATAATCATTTTCCCCCTCCTTATAATGTGTAAACCACAGTCTTTTCAAATTTGTCTCCATGTTTCGACAGAATTCTCTTTACAATGATTTACTGTTTACTGGGTATCAGAGGAGGCTACAGTTTAAAACAGATCACACATAACGAAGGTTTTTTTATACTGAACCGATAACATGTTGACTTCTGGTAAGGGTTATGATTACAGGAAGAGAAGTGAAAGATCACAGGAGCCTATACATAACAGGTGATGATGAAGTCATAGAGAAAGTAGAGGACTACTGACAATAATGAGGGCCAGTCCCAGGATCTTTTCATTTTTTATAATTTTGCTGATAACAAATATTATTTTTATTTGCAAAATCAAATACACATAAAATTTACCATTTTAAACCACTTTAAGTGCACAGTTTAGTACTAAGTATATTCACACTGTTGTGCAACCAATCTTTAGAACTTTTCCATCTATCAGAACTGAAATTCTATACCCATTAAATATCTCCGCATTTCTCTCTCCCTGCCCAGACTCTGGCAACCACC